TAATCTTACCTAATTTGGTATGATTGCACATCCAACTTAGCATTTACATCTCTTCAACACTCATTTTATGTATACATTGATCTTTAGCAACCCAACATTCACTATCATATAACATAGCTGGTGTCTTATAGCTGTTCCATAGAACTTGCCGTTCACTTTGGTAGGTATCCATCTATCACATAACACCCTGGTGACACTTCTCCATTTCAACCATTCTGTTAAATCTTAGAGTAACATCTTCATCTATCACTCTTGTTTAATGAGCCTAAAGTTACTGAACTAAAACTAATAAAACTTCATTCTGTTATATAGATATAAGAATCAATTTATACTTCTCAGTCAAGAATGTAGTCAAAGTACGCAAGATCATTTGTAGCAGGCCTGAAGCAACTGTGGCAGATTCTTGGTCTCCTCACGGGTGGAACATATGCTTCAGGAGGAATTTAAATGACTGGGAACTCGACAGGGTGGGTATCCTGTTGAAGGAAATCGACAAGTTCAGAGGCACAGATCCAGATACTATTAGATGGAGACATAATACTGATGGGGTGTTCACTATGAACAAATTGTATAATACAGAAATCTTGAGGCAACCTGGAGGCAGTATAGGCCCATGGTCAAAGGTGTGGGATTGTCTGGTCCCTACTAAATCAAATGCTTCACTTGGCTGGTAGTCAGAAAAGCTCGCCTAACACATGAAGCCCTTCTGAAGAGAGGAATCCAAATAGCATCACAATGTTTTCTTTGTAATGAGTATGCAGAGACAAACATCCATTTATTTATGCATTGCAAGGTGACTGGCCACTTGTGGTCACTTTTTTTTAGTCTTTGGGTTATCAAGTGGACTATGCCAGAACACACTGCAGACCTCCTTAGTTGTTGGATTGGGAGAGGTGGTAGCAAGTTATAAAGAGATGGTGGGGAGCAATCCCTGCATGTATTTGGTGGACAATGTGGAAAGAAAGGAGTGCTTGGAGAACAGATTTAGCTCTCTACAGAAAACTAAGGGGAACTGTATTGCTAATCTCCATTTCTGGTGTAAAGAAGAAAACTTAGAGGATGCTGTCGAGTTGGTAGATTTTTTAGGAATTAGCTTTTTTCTGCTGTTTAGTTTTTAACTTTCACTGTTGATATCTTTTTGGATGTGGCCAGCATAAACCTTAATGCTGAGGAATACGATAACAAGTTTTCAAAAATGTAGCCAAGATAAGTTGACCAAATCCGGTATGGATCCTACACCTACACCATGTTGTGTAGATACGGGTGCGGCAAAGATTTTGAAGTCCACGCAGCGTAGGATGCAAGTAAACAAGTAAACCTCCTTGACATTTGATCCTGGCTCCCCATTGTTGTCACTTTATCCTAATTTAATGCCAAACTTATTTGAACGGTAAGTCTGGCTTGAGCTTGGCTCTAATGAGTTCTGTGAGTCTGACGTATTATTGGATAAATTTGTGCAATTCACAAGTTAATATTTCCGTTTGCAATCTCCAATTGAAACACTACGTCATGCCAACTAACGATACACTTCCCTGGAGATTTACAAGCATTGAAGAAACAACAGATTGCTGTCATTTTTTAAAAAACTTTTCTGATAGAAGTTAAAAGACTTTAGAGAAACAAATATTTTATAGTATGTAGCAAATACAGTGTGTGTTCCCTGAAATAACTACGAAACAACTTTGTATTCTAGTTGGTTGTAACATTCTCCCAATGTTAAATGGGGAACACTACCTGGATCTTCCTGATATTTTAAATGAAAAAGGGACAATTTGAAAGTTGTGGTGTAATTGTAATGGGAATGGTGATATGTTGATTATTTCCTTTTCCAAGGCAATTAAATTTTGTATTGTTATGTATAAAGTATTCCCTTTATTTCCCTTCTAATATACCACAAAGGACAAAGCAGAAATCATAATGATGTAGCTTTCATTGCAGATAGGCAGAAGTAAGAATTTATAATGTTTGATGATGTGGTAAAATGTTGATCTAAGAAAATCCAAAGGAGGTAGCCAACTTTTTGCTTAAAAATGCAGATTTGTGAAGTTGGAAGTTGCTTTTTCGGAGCGGCGGGGTAAGAGGGAATGTTGGGTTTCAGAGATAAGAATTGAATTTTTCTTTATTCTTGCTTCAAGTGCATGACTTTATCTTCAGTCCGTTTTGTTTACTTTTTGTTAACATGTGTCATGTTCAGCCTTTTACATTGTTTTAGATCTCTTATCTTTGTGTTGTCAATTTGCTTTGTGTGCATGCTTTCTAGCTAATTCAGCTCTGAGTTCGATGGGTGTTTTCCCTTGCAGTCTTCTCAAATGTAAGTTTGTTGTATTTTTATGTTTTTTTATCTAATCTTATGCCCTGCTAAACAGATCAAATCAGCTAAGGCATCTACGACTTGTCGGCTGTGATAATATTTCAAAGGGAAGTTTAGCTGCAGTAGCTAAAAATTTCCCGTTGTTGGAGGAGTTACACATTTACTTAACTTCTATTAGTATAGTGGATATTGAAGTTATTGGTCGTTCGTGCTCTCAGTTGAAGTCATTTACATTGAACGTCTGTGGATTTAGAGGAGGATTGACAGGATTTAGAAGATTACAGATCAATGTCGATGATCAAGCTCATGCTATTGCATTAAATATGCCTGAATTGCAACACCTTGCACTTTTTGGGAATACAATGACAAACGAAGGTTTGTGTGCCATTCTTGATGGCTGCCCCCTGCTTGAATCACTTGACTTACGCCATTGCTATAGTATTGATCTTGAAGGGGATGTTGGAACGAGATGTCGCCAGCAGATTATAGATCTGAAGTGCCCTCATGATTGCACTCATGGTTATGAATTAAGTGCTCAAATTTGTGATTACAACCCTGCCGATGATGAATCTGACCATGGTCTCTCAAACTATTATAATTACAGTGACTTTGACTATATTTATCCTGACTTGGAGTATGACGACTTCAATTACCTTTCTGGAGATCTGGATGATGATGGTTTCTTTTGGTGAAGATCGTTCCTTAAATCTGTTAATGGTAAGAACATAGTTCTGTACAATGCTTTTAATTAGTACTAGCATTATTTCATCTCTCTTTCCTCTGTTAAAAAAATTGTCTCCTGCTCATGCTGGTGAAGCTTAGCAATAGGCAATATTTGAGATCCACCTGGTCTGGTGGAGATCTTAGGGAGGAAAGGCGGACTTAGCTATTTGCTATAAAATCAACGGTTCCATTGTTGTTTTGAAGGTTCTTGGTTGCTGGGTCAACTGCGAGTCGTCCTGCTTCCATTTCAGTTGGAAGTGTTTAGGTTTTGCACATTGCTGGTGGCAGATTTTTAATCATAGTTACTAAGGCAGGCCTTCACTTTCTTCCTTTAGCACTTTACTGCTCTTGGAACCATCTGTAATTACCGTGTTCTCCCCGTCTGCTTTGGTTCATAAACTAGTTACTTGAGATAAATTTGGGAATCTCTTACTGAAGGAGGTTTGAACGTATAGTATATATATAAAGAAACGGAACTTCAAATTAGTTTCTCACTGTAATTTGTTGTTCTTATATCCTTGTTTTTATTCGTTCATTCTTTTCCACTTTATAACAGGGAAGGATTTGGTCGAGCCATTACTGAATGGCTAGTTCTAAGCTAGACTCAGTCCAACATATTCCTTGGAGGAAATTAAATCTCCTGCCCTTTTATAATTTGCGTACCTATTTAGATCGTAAAAATGAAAATATCTCCTAAAATATCATGAAATTGGTAGAAAACAATGTTTCCCTCAACATTATGGCATGATGAATTATCGACATATTCATTTACTTCATGCCTATTTCCCACTCCAATATTATATTTAAATTAGCAGATTTATAAACAAAATATTCCAGCGTTATATCGCTTCAGAACAGACGTAAACTGACCACCTATTATTTCAATTTGTCGTCAATCACGTAATTTCTTATGATATCTCAATTTTAGTTCTCAACAGTTGTAAACCGACCTTCTATTATATCTCACTAACATAAGAATAGATATGTCTAAGTAATAACTTTAAAATCCATTTCACTGCATTAAAGTTGATAAAAGTATTTCTGGGCATTACAGTTAGAACTATAGGTGGTGATGTTGGTGGCTTACTCATCTTTAACAGACTTATTTGTATCCGATGGAAGATCCATCGGTCAATCGTTATTCGACTCAAAGTTGATTGGTACAATCTGCATGTTTGCCTACTCGTCTTTCACCGGCCTATTTGAACCCAACTACAATCTCTTCCCTTGTAAAAGAAAAAAATTGTGTTACATCACTAGGCTGAGGATTTTATACAGAGAGATTTAGATTGTGCAAAGTTCGAGAAGCTAAATTGGCTACTCTTCCTAATAATAAAAAGTCTTGTTGGACATTGAAACATAGTTGTCTTCATTCAAATTTTGTATAGCCGATCGTTATTGATTATCGACAAACTCTATTTTCCTTTTATTACCCACAAAATATAACCTTAAGCCCAGTAATAAAAAGTTATATTATAGACCCTTAATCTCCCGTATGATACTAAAAAAAATCTCGATTTAACATAACACATATTGTTCACATGGTTTAACAATTAGTAGTTCATTTATTAAATAAGTCAAGGTTTACAGTTGTTATTTCGATATTACGAGAAATATAATTAGGTGCAATTTCAATCCAACCATCACCTTTGTTTATTATATTTGATCTAGTTGGTTGATGAATGGACAAGTTTGTCAAGATTCAACTTTTAAATTTAAACAGAGTGATAAGATTAAAAGACGCTAAATCTACTATACTATCCTCTATGTTATCTTTCATCTTTTTAGAGTAACGTTTTAATTTTATTTAATATTCTCAGTTATGTTTTTATGCTATAAGCATTCAAAAAGTAAAAGAAAAAACATTTAACCACATTCCATTTTATTCATGGGCCTTACAGTGGGCCTCAGTTTCATTTGAACATATACGGCCCATCGAATAAAAGCCTTTTGGGCTTTCACATCTGAAACCCTAGTTATTTCCCCAACTTTGATATATAATTGTACTACTCTCCATTAACAATCTTCTCTAGCAAGGAGTTCGCGGCTTAGCAGAAACCCTAGTTCCAGTGAGTATTCTCTCTTCCAGTTTGTCTTCTTCATTCATCTTTGTAAATTTTGCATCTAATGTGTGACGTCTATTTTGCAGAAGGTAAGGTAAGGTAGAACTTCAACAATGGCCGTACCTCTGCTTAACAAGAGGGTCGTGAAGAAGAGAGTGAAGAGGTTTATTAGACCTCAGAGTGACCGAAGAATCACTGTCAAGGTATACTCTTTTGTTTAAAATTTATTTGTAACTCTGAATCTAAAAAAGTTAATATTTGGCTCTTGCTGGTCCCTAAATTTCTCTTTGTTGAATCTATATTGAATAAGTGTTTGGTGTGATTTTTTTTCTTGCTACCTGGTTTAACTATATTCTGTGTTTGCGTTTGATTATTTTTGATAAAGTGATATAATTTATGTCGAATTTGTCTAAAAGGAGAAAAAATTGACCCTTGAAAGAAGGGAAGGGAGAGGGAAAGAGAGTTTCTGTGTCTGAATGTGTCAATTCAGTAAATGCGTTACCTTAATTCTCTCTTATTGCATTTCTTATCATGTTTTCGGTGTTCCTTTACTTCTTCCTCCCGGAATTTCTTAGCTGATATCCTTAAGGTGAATATGACTACATTTGATAGCTAAGTTGCATATTCGGTTCATCCATTTAGATAAAGATCCTCCTTTTAGTATCACATATGCATCCTTTTTTTTCAATTTCTCTGGTTTGTTTGGCTTTATCATTCTGTTATTAATATCATCTTGTAGCACCATTCATCCAAATAACACCTTCTTTGAGTATTCAGCAACTGTTTGTTAATAGCTGTATGTCTTTGGGTGTTTGGACTGTGAAGTGACGGCTGTATAGTGGGTTGTTGTGGACTTGTGGCAGTGGTGCTTCGTTTGCTTAATTGAATTAGATCTCTAAACTGGTGATAATGGTGGCTGCCCTATGAAATATGTGAATTCATGTGTAGTTTCTAGAAGTCTTTTGGTTCTTCAGTTGTATTTGGACTGAGCAAGCTTACTAATTGGACCTGAACATTCAATTTTTTATAATAGGAAAGCTGGCGCAGACCCAAGGGTATTGATTCTAGAGTGAGGAGAAAGTTCAAGGGATGTGTCTTGATGCCCAATATTGGTTACGGGTCAGACAAGAAGACTCGCCACTATCTTCCCAAACCGAAGGAGTTCGCGGCTTAGCAGAAACCCTAGTTCCAAAGGTAAGGTAGAACAACAACAATGGTCGTGCCTCTGCTTAACAAGAAGGTCGTGAAGAAGAGAGTGAAGAGGTTTATTAGACCTCAGAGTGACCGAAGAATCACTGTCAAGGAAAGCTGGCGCAGACCCAAGGGTATTGATTCCAGAGTGAGGAGAAAGTTCAAGGGATGTGTCTTGATGCCCAATATTGGATACGGGTCAGACAAGAAGACTCGCCACTATCTTCCCAATGGCTTCAAGAAGTTTGTTGTGCATAATGCTAGTGAGCTTGAGATCCTAATGATGCACAACAGAACTTACTGTGCAGAAATCGCACATAATGTTTCCACCAGAAAGAGGAAAGAGATTGTCGAGCGAGCTGCCCAACTCGACGTTGTCATAACAAACAAGCTTGCTAGGTTGCACAGGTAACTTGATATGCTCACTTACCTGTCACCTAATTTGTACTATAACTATTGAGTTTAATTTATCTTTTGTCTTGTCATCCAACATGTTTTTCTTTCCTTGCCAGAACATACTGTGCAGAAATTGCACATAATGTTTCCACCAGGAAGAGGAAAGAGATCGTCGAGCGAGCTGCCCAGCTTGACGTTGTCATAACAAACAAGCTTGCTAGGTTGCACAGCCAGGAGGATGAATGAGCATTTTGGCTTTAGATGAGATCTCTATATTGTTTAAGTGTTTGAACCTGTTCCTTGTGTTTTGTTTAATTAATACTCTGTTTTTCCCGAAGTGGATTTTGATACATCCTATTGCTATCAAATGCTTAAATTTTCAGATTTTAGTAAAAAAAATATTCGACCCAACCATTAACCCGATTCTAATATCCACTCTCTCATATCACTTTACCCATTAAAACAGAGACAACGGTCTTCAGTTTTCTCCCATCGCTCGTAATATCTCAGAAGAAGTCCCAGAGAAAAGACACCTTTTGTGGTGACAAAGTGGCTATGGTCATTTTATTTCTGTCAATCTTCGTAATTTACTCTGAATGATGATGTTGAATGTCGACAAAAAAACATCTCTTTATTGCACAATATAAAGATCAAATATTTTTCCAGATTGAAGGTATCACAGTAATGCAACAAACTTTAACCGACTATAAAAAACTTTTTTTCTCTGTACTATTGGGTGGGATTTTTGGTATGAAGAGGTAGTATATTGTTTCGTGTCTCTTACTGTTCGTCAGTCGTTTTTGTTTGGTTTAGTACAAATCTGTATCTTCAAAATTGTCAAAGTAAGAAATTATTAGCTTCCAATTAACCTGTTCAATCTGTACTTAGTATACCAATCCAGTGATTTTGGACGTAGTTTCAGACCCATTGAAAGGAGAAGAATATTTGTAGCCATGTTGATTTTGTATTGATAGATGGCAGCACCTGTGCTATTCTGTGTACTTGAAGAGACGAATAAATCATTGGTTTCTAACACTTCACACAGCAAATTCGAACCATCTGATGGTAGTCTGCAGTCGAGTATATTTTCTATGTATCTTGTAATTTCCTCAGTAAACTACTTGATACTTTCTTTCATTGTTCAAAACGTTCTATTTCTAAAAAGCTTCACTAACTGTTTTCTTGAAACAACTATTATGCATATTGACCTCTAAGCCAAGTGATTCGAGGGAATGTCATGTAGTCTCAATTCCCACATGGATGGTTCTAGCAGACGTTTTATATGATACCAAAAGGAAATAATAGAAACGACAGCGAAGAAAGTTTAGATAATGATAGGGAGCTTTAAGCTTCTTTACCTACATGAAAGCAAAGCTATTGTGTGCTAGCATGATTACATTTACAGAAGCCAAAGAAAATAGGTTAGGTCATTCTAAGCTACTTGCTAGCAACTGCCTCGGAACATTTGCAGAAGAGGCCAAACTACATTACATTAATTGAAAGCACTGGAGGCATACAGAATGGACAATCTCCTATACTTTCATAGTGGTAGCAAAAATTCGAAAGTTCCTACTTCCCCAACTATCACTGTCGTCGATATGGTAAGACTTTAAGCAACACCTGATCCAGGGTGGATTTCTAAAATGATCATTCATTTCACTACCATCATCGCCTTCAGAAGTTCCAAGCAACAAATTCCTCTTTTTTGTTAATGTATAAACAGAGGGGTAGCCGTCAAAAAACTGTTCCTGCCAAGTATAGTAGTATTACCTCAAAACCAAGATCGACAAGTTAGTAGCTCAAACAATTAAAGCATGCAAATCAAGTTGATTAACAAATTTACGCAATAATATAAACCAACAGAATATTTTAACATCATCTTGATGTAGCACATCAAGGCCTAACATTCATAATCTTCAAGGGCCACAATCTCATCATTTCCCAATCAATTGGTGGATGATTTGGCAAGTAAATAGTTGTTTGTACAACATCAACAACTATGACACAGGAATCTTCATTTTGCTTCAAGATAACAAAGTCGAACAGTTTAGTATGAGTATAGGTATGTCATAGACACCCTCACAAATACACAAAACCATACACAAAATACTGATATCCAAGTCCAGGAAACATATTTATACTGAGCTATGTCATGAAACACAGTCCCTAAATGGCTATCAATGTGCTGCAGTATACTCAAGAAAGATTGATAAAAGATTGCAAGTACACAAACAATTATTACCGCATCCTCTTTATACAGATATGCATGGATTCTTGCAGTTGGATCCTCTAGGGTCAACCTGATCCTATAAACCCCAGAAGGGGAACGGAAATCTTCAGCTAGCCAAGGAAATGCCGCTACCACTCGAACTACACAGTGGAATTTACCTATGACCTGCAAGCAATAAGCTCAATGATGTACAACAACAAACAACAGCATACCCAGTGTAATCCCACAAGTTGGGTTTGGGAGGGTGATGTGTAACGCAGCCTTACCCCTACCTTGCGAAGGTAGAGGTTGTTTTTGATAGACTCTCAGCTCAAGTAAAACATATCAAAATCAGTATGAAAAGGAAATACAACACTAAAAAAGCCATATAATAAGCTCAATGATGTTAAGTGATAAAAAGAGTGAAGTCATAAATGTAGTACAAAAGAAAAAGAATGTTACTAGAATCATCCTAACTCTATAGCTTCTATGATGAAACTGAAAAAGAAACTTGCACTACATCAAGCATCAATTTTCCTCGCATATATTGTTCCCCGTGCACCCCTTTTCCACTATCACTAGTGGAATACAGATACAGTATAATCAGCAGGAAAAATGAAACTTATTATTCTTATTTAAGACCTAAGAAAAGATATTTCCATAAGAAGCAACTTCACAGAGAGAAGTCATCCAGATCAATGGAATCAGGGAGGAATAACATAAAACTGACCGCTAAAATTTTCTCAAGTTTTTAACGCTGCCAAGTATCCAGAAGATTCACCCAGTTGATAACAACTGGTACTTTAAAGAGATCAAAGCATATCATGCATTGCCGTTTTCTTAAATTAATAGGATTTTTAGCCCTTTCAGCATCAATTATAAAGAAAATGAAATGTTAAATGTTTGAGTGTGAAGATGTATGGTAGTTTGCAACATCGAAAAAAAAAGATGGTTCAAAGACAACTACTTCCTCTATCAATACAATCTTCCAGTCTAGCCAGGATCAACTGAAAGCACATAACGCGTTAGGATGCCAATGTGTAATAAAAAGTCAAGAAGATGCAAGTTTTTTTTGTAACGTCCAATAATTAACTTGTAAAGATAGTGTTAATATAGCTTCAATACTTGAAATACTAAGAGCGCAAAAGAAGGAAATAATGGCCCAGTAAAGTGGTTGAGATACCTTTGGATTCGCCAGAGCTCTCATCAAGGAGACAAAAGGTACATTAGGGTAGTCGGTCTCTGAGAATTTAGGAAATAAAAGAAATGTTAGAATGTGTTATTAAAGCATAAAAAACATTGCTTGAGCATACAAGGCAAAACCTGCTATGTCAGATGACCAAGGAAAGCTTGACAAAGGCATCCATCCCCATTTGGATTTACGACGCTCATCGTACTGGCTATAATGTAATTGCAAACAATTGAGGTAAATTCAGAGGGCATGGTATTATAGTAGATTGTTACAAAACACCTTGCTGCCAAGAGTAGATATGGAACTGATAATTGTGGCGGGCATGAGCATCCATGTTATGAAGTCATGGGCTATGACATGCTTGTCAAATAAAAATGATGACCATGTTTATCATGCAATTGAGCTTCACACCATTGTTTACTTTTTTCTTTTTTCTTTTCTGATAGGAGTTTCACACCTATTTTTATTTTTCTTTAAGAAAATTCCACCCAAGATTGTACTATGTATGTATTAAAACTGGAAGAAGAAATACCTCATGCGCTGTAAAACGATGTCATCTTCGTCAGATAAGTAGCAAACCCTAGTAAAGGGCATTAGGACAGCATGCCACAATGCTGCATGAAGTTCACATCTAATGTTAATTAGTTTCACCCACCGATTGCTCTTGAGGAAGTTAATGCCAAGTTTCTCGTTGCAACGATCAACGATTACCCTCAAGACAGTTCCAAGAGGTGGCAAGGTACAGAGAACATCTCTTTGCAAAATGAAGTCCACAGGCTGCAATGGAAGTGGGTTTTCCATTTCTTCTTCTAGCCTGTAATCACGAAACAATTGGCCACAGCATATCAGGATCAGGTACCAAATCATCCTTAACATATGAAAAAGCTTTCTGCAAAGAAGCAGGCAAGCAGGTATTCAGTTTACCTCTCTGAAGTAATTAGTTCAACAGAGGTTTGATTATATCTTTATATATACTGGAAGAAGACAGATATTGTAGTGGACATTTGAGGCTCATCTTTCTTGGACCTTTTAATTTAAGTAATATAAATCTCAGTTATGTAGGAAATTTGGTGATACTCATTAAGATCAGGAAGCAAACAAGTTTGGCTGTTAATGTTTGAATATTATCAAAGAGCTTTGGCCTATTGAATTATGCTCTTAAGGCCAATTCTTTTGATAAAGCTACAACATCTTCAGTCTTCACAGTCATACTACATCCCCCTACCCCCACAAAAAGAAAATCCAAAAAGTCCAAATATTGGTCCATCCTATCTAGAGTACTGCTATAACACCAAAAGAACAAGCTATTGATACATTTGCTTTTTACTCTAGCAATCTGCAGTCTTTTCCCCTCCCCTCAAAGCATATCTTGTTCTTAAGCCCAATTCTGAGCTTGTTGTTCAACGAATCTACCATTATTTTGAGAGAGAACATCATTTGAACTATGATATAAATCTAGTATTTAATTACCAAAAAAATATGTAGTATTGCATTAAATAGATATAGTTTCCACTAGCACATACTTATTTCAGTTCAGTGGTGAGAGCAGATAAAAGAAATATCATTCCAACAGAAGTGCCCAGTATCACACATCGCAAGCACAAAGTGGCCATTTAACTAATTCAGAAATCCAGGGAAGATCATCAATTACTCCTTCCTACACAAGTATCTCATATCAAAGGGGGGGTTACCATCGTACCTCTAGTTCGAAGCCTGATTAGAAAGTAGGGAACACTCACTTTGTTTTGATAGTGACCGGTGGAGTATCCATGCCATCCCATACGAGAAGCATCCACTTGTTTTTTTCAACTTCACATACGTGAACAATCTGGCATATGCCAGTGTAATTTGCAATGGAAGTGTTAGTGATTTTGAATGTTGTGTCAGTACCTAAGAACATGTAGCGCATACTGTGCTTGCCAATATATTCAAGATACATTTAAGTACAGTGATTTTAAGACACAAAACAATCTTGCAGATCACTTATTTAAAAAAAGTACCTTGCAGATCAAGTTGAAACGTTCTCCTTCTCTAATCTCTTTCAACGAATGTAAATCAGTCAAACCTATCAAGAAAATGAAGCATCTCCTGAGTACCAAGAAAATTGTGAGCATATTCTGAGGGAGGTGGCAGAAAATTCAAACAACAAAATAAATTAATTTACCAAAGAAAAAGGAAAAGCACTACCAGAATACCAATGGCATCTGGGAAGGGATTTTGTTAGTGGATCAATCCTTGAAAGAAAAACTGATGTTCAAGAAGGATAGAGTTACTATTAACTAAGATTATGTGAGAAGCTAAAACAACTAGATAGCTACAGGTAAATGTGCACACACATATCTCAAACACCTTTCACAGGAAGCAAAGTTAGCTGCCCCATCCTATGCTATATGGATCCATTCTTTGTCTTGACTCTTGACATGTCTGTGTCAAACAAGTGTGACAAGGGTTCTTCATGAAAATTCTTTCAAACTACACCAAATATTCATTGAATTATATGTACCCGTATATCCATAATGGACATGTACACCTAAATAGAATCATTAATGTAGGATACATTCTTTTATGCAACCTTCAGAAGCTAAATAATTAATTGTTATGTACTTTTAGCTCAGAATTCTATTATAAGCATCACTCTGCAGTTGGCACTAGTGATGCGACTTGCGAGTACCTGTATCAATCTTGTGATCAACCAACCACTTCATCAAACCCAGTATAAATTTCTTGTCTTGCTCTCTAGCATGATACTTAGAAGAACATTGATAAGGGAGGAAATTTGAATCATTCTTTCCGTCAAATATTGCAAATGAAGAGAACTTCTTGTTGAACAAAGCATAAATATCAGGTCCATGAGTTTTCATCTGCAAGCCGAAGAATACCACTTGTAAGGATTTACACAATATTTTTACTAACAGAAAATAATACTTAAGAACAATAAAAGTTCACTCAATCAGGACAAGATCATGCATTCAGTTTGTTGGCCAATCCAATTAATGCTAATCTATTTCCTTGAGAAATTGACTTTTATTTGTTTCCACTTGGCCTTTGCCCATGATCTATAATAGTAGATTCATAAGCAGTTCAAATATAACAGAGTCTAGAGGATGAAGGGCTGTGGAACAAGATAGTCAATCTATTCTCATATTTTTTTAGAAGCAACAAGCACTTTTCCCCTTAAGAGGAAAAGAACACTTCCCCTTATAAAAAAACAGAGGATAAGAACACTCTTCCAAGTGGCTGATTAACTGCAAAGGCAGCCCCTCCTAATCATAATGTAGGTAAATCAGATCCCAACTAAAAGAAACAACAAAATCTCTGGTGAGCTGCTTCTGTCTACAGGAGGATAGTTGAATTGTGAAGGATGCTAAAATATCAATCAACCGCTGGGGAAATCAAGTCTTCTATTTAGTAAAAATATCATGAGCTGGTCCATTGGAAGTACTCAAGCTATTTGAAGTCCTTCCAAAATTTGGTTTGGGAAAGGAGTGTACCCTTTAAAAAGCCAAGAATTCTAGGTAATGCCAATTGTAACTCCATATTTACACCTTGTCGAATATGGTGCATAGTTTTCAAAAGAAAATTCAGCCCATTTCAACATTTATTCAGGATTTAGTTACTCTATCTATAATTTCAACATTTCCATCATATGAAAAAATGTTCAAGAATCTTTTACACCCAAAAGGCAATAAGCAAATATTGGAGCAAAATTAGTTACCACAACTTGAGAGATCTGAATTATATCACCAACAGTCAGCACTTCAGGAAGCTTATCCATAGTTTCGGCAAAAAAATTAACTGCAATCCCTGGGCTTGGGTAGGACTCATCAATGATCCTAATGGAGCAAAAGCAATCTACAAAAATACAAACAAAAAGACGCCAAAATCAAGCCCAAAACGTTCATTCCACACAATGTTGTGGGGAAAAAAAAGGTTTGAGATATTAACTACTCCATATCCCAAAATGTGATGAGTACAACATATGGCATTCAACAACTCAATGCACTTGTATTTATCAAACCTGTTTTTAAAATGCTTTCCTTGAGCCGATGATCTATCAGAAAGAACCTCTCTACCTCACAGGGGTAAGGTTTGCATACACTCTACCCTCCCCAAACCCCACTTGTGGGATCGCACTCGGTATGTTGTTGTTGTTGTTATAATGCACTAACACAAGTGCTGATGGTATGCATAAAAAGTTAAGCAACAAATATTTGTAGCTAATGGTTTGCCTTGATGAAGTCATCATTCCCGCTCAATTAGCCACTCACATTGGTTTTGTTAATCTCCGTAAAAAAATGGATCTTTGGCCTAACTTAACTCAAAAGCTAGTTTAAGAGGTAAGGAATGTCCAAACCATATTAAGTAGATCACTCATCTCTTAAAGCACCGATGTGGGACTCTTTACACACCCCTCCCCTCACGCCAATGGTTGGACATCTAGAGCATGGGCAATTTAATTTGGGGCTACAACACTGGAAAACAAGAATTGGGATGAGTCCTACCCCGATACCATGTAAAGAAATGGGTTTTGGATCTAACTCAAACCCCAACAGCTAGCTAAAGAGGTGAGGATTGTCCATATTAAAGAGACCACCCATCCCTTAAAGCTACTACTTGGGACTCTTCACAATCGCTTTCTTTGCGGCTGTTATAGCACTTACATTTACTTGATTCTTGCTCAGTCTTTATTCACTTAAGCATTCAATTGATCAACCTGATCTAGGATTTGCATGAGAGCTGTGTACGTTGGAGTCATCTGACCAATTTGAGTCTTTCCCATTTGTACTATTGTATTGTGTAACCATCTCATCTGAAAACTTAAACTGTTACAAAGGGTAGACTTTTATTTACTTGTAAGGATAACAACTCATTTCCTCAACTAATGTGGACATTCTAACAAATTAATTATATTGACTATATCCTCTCCAATACACTGGGAACCTAGTGGAATTTGACATTGGTTCAAAGCGGGATAAAAGGAGGGTTATTGGGACTTGAAAAGATATAAAGCAAAGCTGGAGATTACAGGGAATAGTCAAAGAAAAGGTATAGACTATACCTTCTCTTTGACTATTCCCTGTAATCTCCAGCTTTGCTTTATATCTTTCAAGTCCCAATACTATACCTTCTCCTTCCTTTTTTATCAAGAGGGTATAGACTATTTATTTAATCTTTTTGAAAACCTTGGTGAAGAGGGTATAGACTATACTAAAACTTGTTATCCAATAGTTAGATAACAACCATAATGTGATTTATGTAAAGCAATGAAGAAGTGGTGGAATATATACCAACCAGATGTGAACAACGCTTTCTTCTATGATGCTGAAAAGGGGAAATCTATACAAAGGTCCCTCAGGGTCTATAGTGTCTTCTCTTAGCCTCAGTGTCTGCATGTGAGGAAATCACTTAATGGTCTAAAATAGGCATTCAACCAATTGTATACCAAGCTTTGAGTAATCTTACATTCTAGAGGATTTCAGCATTCTCAGGATGAATATTCTTTATTCTTTAATAAGGATAATGACCTTTGCATTTTCATGCCTATATGCAGATATTGTTCTGGTGACTAGGCCTCATGCTTCGGATTACTAAGCTGAAGCATTTTCTGGATCTCACTTTTAAAATCAATGAATTAGGGTCTTTGACTACTTCCTGTATTTGGAAGTCTTAGACACTGGCTAATGTATTCTGATCAGCCATAGAAAATTTACTCTTGGAATATTGGATAAATTTCATCGTTCAGATTTTCCTTCAGCCAATATCCCTTTGGACCCGCAATTGAGTGTACTGCTCCTGATGGGAGTTTACTATCTGATCCTACAATCGACAGAAAATTGGCCGGGCAAACTGAACTTCCTGACTTATCTTAGTAGGTTAGCTGCTAAGTCATTCATGCTAACTCCCAAGTCTTCTCACCTTCAAAGCAGCATTTCCCACCCTTTGGTATCTGAAATCATTTGTCTGCCTAGGTTTGTTCGTTTCAAATGATTTTCTCTTTCTCTTCAAACTTTCGGTAATGGCGATAGGGAAACTTACCCAGATTCAAAGGAGAATGTCAATGGTTGTTCTGACATGCTTGGCAATAGTCCAATTTTTACAGAAATAAAGGAAAGAAGCTATTACTCCTTATCCTTGGTGAGTACAGATCCCTCCAAAAAGTAGTTGCAGAGTAGTCTTTGTTGTTCAATTGTTTGTGGAATTTTCTATTACCTCTCTTACTTTGACTGCTATCTATTGTGACAATCAAGTTGTATCCACGTTGCTAAAAACTCTATCTTTCACAAAGGTGACTAGTATATTGAGCTGGATTGTCATTTTTTCCCGAGAAAGCTATTTGATGGTCTTATTTCTCTTTCTATTGTCCCAACTAAAGACCAATTAGCAGATGTGTTCCTGTGAAGGCCTTTTCTATTCTTTCTACATTATGTTCAACAGCTCAATGCACCTTGAGCAAGTGTTGATGCCAAATGAGTGACTAGCTTCTGGATATAAACTAGTGAAACTTGAAAAATGCCTCAACTTTCAAGTCGACTTCGTCCTTGAATTTATTTTTATTTTTCAACTAAATGTGGAATCAGAAAGTACATGTCAACAATAACACTCCTAAATTGAAATATTTAAATACGCCCCGAGGAAATTATACTCCTGGTCAAATACTAAAGATTATTCAACTATTTAAAACAGGTAGAAATAAGGGAGAAGTTGCATAAAATGTAAGGAAAGAGTATTTGAGAAGAAGAAATTACCCGTGCCCTTGGATTGCTTGGGAAGACCAGTTTCGATAACGACGCCGATGAGATTAACTTTCTGGCCAAGTGCAGCCCTGGCATCTACTATTTGAAGGAACTTGTAGTCATCCCGGCTACTACTGATATTCATTTTTCTGCAGGAACTTCTGTACTTTCTCCCCTTTAAGTTCGTTTTTCTGAAGAAAACACGGTCACCGGAGGTAAGTCGGAGAAATAGAGTGCTCGCCGACGAAATTTAGGGCGCCAAAAGGAGTGGTTCTTTATATTTTGATACGTGCGGTGAATTGCGCTCTTGTTTTAATTTAATTTAATTTACTTTGCTTTAGTTTTTTTTTTTTTAGGCGGTCTATGGCCGGCCCGGCCTAACCTGTGATTTGATAGAATAGGACTATAATTTTTAGAGATTATTTAAGAAAAAAGTTTTTTAGTCCGGCTTGAATAAGTCTGTCGATTTGTGGGATTGAGAAATATGAATAGGGTCGGCTCATGGGCCAAATAAAATAGAGTATAAAAAATAACAGGAGTCTATACTCAAAATCTGTTTAAAGTTAGAAATATTACAATTTAAATACAAATTATGTTTATAAAATATGTACTACATAAAATAAAGTTCCTAAAATTTCTAGGGAATCACTACATAGGTCATAGCCTATTGAATATTATCATAGTTTTTGTGTTTTATTATGATCATTGGAAAACAATTAAGTTAATATTTCTATTTAGCTATTTATATTTTTACTTGAAATCAAACTTAATAAATATTAGGGATAAGGGTCTGAAAAATACCCCAACTTTAGTCGAATAGTCTAGGGAAGTAATAAGTTCTCATGAAAGTTTAGTATCACAACAACAAATTCAACCAAAGTTGGGGTATTTTTCAAACTTTTATCTCTAAATATTATATAGATAATTTTATTTGTATATTTGATTGACAAATAGTAACACTAGTCGATATTTATGATAATATTTTTAAATTATAATTTAATTTAAAAAATTATGAAAATATACTTTTAAGAAAAGAGGTTTGGGCGATTGGCCCGACAAAGCCCGTAGCCCATACACTTGTGGGCTGGGCCGATCATTTTCTGGCCCACATAAAAAAATGGGTTTGCTCGGCCTGACCCGTCAAATTGCAAAGCATGTATGGGTTAGCCAGGATGGGGTGGGTCAGCCCATATTGACAACTCTAGTTTTTTTATGGCATAAATGTGCCTTTAAACTTGACTTATTTGATATTTACTCCGGTTCCTTTTTAGTTGTTATATCGCGTTTTTCAAAAATTAATTTGATTGATTTTTAGAGATAAATTAGATTATATTAATTTGATATTTTAAATTAAAATTTTTAATAAATGAAAAATATTATAAGTTGTAATTTTTTGCATAATAATATGAATATATGATGAAAAATACATTATAAAATATTAATCAAAGTTCTTATTGTTTGACTCTGAAAAAAGGCAACTGTGACAACTATAAAAGAACGAAAGGAGCGTGTCTTTTTAATTATGGTTGTCTATAAATATGTACTTAAATTTATATAGAGTTGAACAAATTATATATTTTATTTGGCAATTTATAGATATGTGTATTTTATTCGTCCTTTGTATAAATTTAAGTTTCTATGTATATTTTAAATTAGAGGACATTGTATAGGAGGTTAAATTAAAATATATATCTATATATTATGCCTTTTTAAGTATTATAATTATTACTAATTTTGTTTTGAATAATAAAGGATAAAAAGTTGAAAACCACGTGTAATATCACTTTTGTCATTCCAAAATTAACGTGCAATATAAATCATGAATAATGTATAATAATTTAAAGGACTTCTAATTGTTATACTACATTATACTTTATTTTTATACTTGTATTTATATGAATATAAATAAATAAAGAAGAATTAGTGAGTAGGAGATAATCAAACACACATGTTTTTGCCATTCAATTCAAATTTACTGGATATAAACTGAAAATAATATGAATATTATGTTACCTTGTTATAATTGGCATATATTTTTGTCAAAATTTTTTTAATTAAATTTTAAAATAGATTTTTTTTTTTGGTAAGAAAATGTTTTTATAGAACGAATCACACTTTGTTTTTTTTTTTTTTTTTTTTTTTCA